TGCAATTTTTCCTGTGTGACCTTGTTCTTTCCCCGGTATCCTCACCCGGCTCATTTTTACGACACAGTGGCGGTGGGTCGGTCCAGCAGGACAGGTCGCCTTTTGAACTTGTCGGACAACTCCTTGTCAAGCTTTTCTAGCGCATGCGCGCATAGTAGAGTGCAGTTGCTATAAGTCTTGCACGTGCTTTTGTTTACAATTTGAACTTAGCTGCACGGTACTTAGCCAGCCTTTAGTACACCCAAATTTTTAACCCTGTTCTAGTTTTTCACTGTGCATTTAACTTTTATTCTATATTATATTTACTTCTTTTTATTACTTTATTCATCATTATTATAATTTTTATACTTATTTAATTTCATCTTCCTGTAAATTTTTGTTTGTGCTTATTTACTGATAGCCATCTATTGTACTCTGTTTCCATACCTTGTTAAGTTCGTTTAGATTTTATTTCTGTATATGCAATTATTCTGTGTATTGTATGCATTATTCTGTGTATTGTATGCATTGTATGAGAAATAGGCTCTGTGGCTGGTTTCTTCACAGCATTCAGTTCCGTACATTTAGCATTTGTGACGGAAATTAATGAGTTTTCTGTAAATTCCATTCACTTCTCATTTACTTGTCACCTTGTACCCGTGCACGCTAACTGTTGGCAGCGCTTTCATTGCACGCACTTATATTTAACTGTATTGCCTTAGATTATGTAACTGTACGCTTTTTATTGTAATTCTGCATATTAACTGTCATTGTCTGCATTATATCATGGTACTAAAATCTACTCTATCTACTGACGAAGATATAACAACGTCGTCTAGCGCCTTAGACCCGACCTCTATCTTAAACTCAGACATAGCTCATGCTGAAAAGGTAGACCTCTTCTACCAGGAAATCAAGAGAGTAACAACTACCTACCGAGGTGGTAAATTTCTGCTCCGAACAGAACTCAGAGAACGTATTCTTACCTCACTAGAGGCTCTACAGAAGCTAGCCCTAGAAGGCCCCGAATACACAGCAAAACCAACAAAAGCCGACACAAGTACCAATACCTCCACTCTCTTCTGCTGCGAATTAGCACATGCATACAATAACCAGTATCAAACAGACCAGCAGAGGCATAACGTGTTCGCTGTAGCACCACTGCCTAATCCGATCAGAGGTCCATCCTACGCGGCTGCCGCAGCTAAGGCTAAAGATACTAGTCACATAACTACGCCCCGGCACACTTAAAATAAAATTACTATTACTATATCCTAAGGAAGCCACCTGCTCCACCAGTCAAGACCTTAAGGCTAAACTCAGCCAGGAATTCCCCACTCCCCAAGATAGGAGTAAAGGTATCCACAGTCAGAAACATACAAAAAGGAGGGCTAGCCGTTGACTGTCACACGAAGGAGGACCTTGACAAGCTAAAAAATACGCTAAACAGTGCAAAGGGACAAGAACTGGTAGAGACCAAGCTTCCCGCCACAAGACTTCCAAGAGTTGCTATCCACAGCGTCCCACATGAAGTCCAGGAACACGAAATAGAACGAGCTTTGGCATCGGAGCACAATGCTACCAAATCAACAGTCAAGATCCTCTACCGCCTCCGAGATAGAAGAAACACAGTTAAATGGGTTCTTGACTGCCAACCTACAGTCTACCAGCGAATCATGCAGGCTCCCAGACTCTACCTCGGCTGGCGGGCATACCGAATTGCAGACTTCTATAACACCAAGCGATGCTACAGATGCCAGGAACTCGGCCACACTCAAAAGGAGTGCTCCAACAAACATTATTGTGCATACTGCACAGAAGAACACGACATCCGTGAATGCCGAGCGCAGCAGCCCGCGTGTATCAACTGCGCAGACTATAACTATAGGACAAACAGGAGCATCCCCTGCGATCATCCAGCCTATGATGTCAACTGCCCCTCGTACGGAAGATACATCGCTAATATCAGACGCAGTACCAGATACGAGTGATTTGCCACAGCCGCCCACTCAAATAATGCAAACACCAGACATCCAAACGAGAAGTTATCAAATGCATCCAGATTAATTTACAAAGAGCAAAAGCCGCCGCGTCACAATTGATCCAACATACAATCAACCATCAACCAGATATACTATTGATTCAAGAACCTTACTGCAGAGCAGGGGAAGTCGCCTGTTTGCCACTCTGTTGGAAAATATTTCAGCGCAAAGCACAACAGAATGAGCCACCACCAAGAGCAGCAATCGCCTGCTGCAACCCGCTCTGGTCCCCGCTGATAATTACACAGAAGCGAGACCATGTAGCAATCCTCCTCAGCTTCTCAAATTCACAGATCATCATTTCCTCCATCTACAGTCCCCCACCGGATGATATCCACCAGACCATCATGAGCATCGAAGAAGTAAAGACAAAGTGCCCCACAACATCACATGTTATAGGCACATCATATGGGGTTACCCAGCTACCACTCCAAAAGGGCAAGTCTTGGAAGACTACATATTGGCCAGCAATCTGCAAATCATAAACACCCCCAACGCGCCACCCACATTTGACAACACGTACCACCACGGATGGCCAGATATTACAGTGACTACTAATGATATAGCCAATAACCTACAAGACTGGATGGTAGCAGATGAGGAGAGCTGCTCGGACCATCGCTACATACACTTCAATATTGCAAGCGACACAAGGATCAGCATCTTTAAAAGATACAAACTTCCGGGTAACAAATTGCGAATACTTAACAAAGCTTTCTCTCTAACATTACAGCAAGAAGAGCAGGAGCTGAGTCAATACAAGAGCCCCAATGATCTGAACACTTATACCGAGCGGCTGCTTGACACTCTACGGAGCATTTGCGATCAGCACTTGCCCACCAGAGCAGCAAAACGTTTGCAAGGAACTTCCTGGTGGACAAAGGAACTGCGACAGCAACGGCAAAAGTGCAGGGCTTTACGACGTTGCCTTCGCACCAACATTAACAAAGCCACCAAGAATGCAATACTAGCAACCTTTAGGAAGGAAAGAGCGCATTATAAAAATAATATCCTTAAAGCCAAAATAACCAGCTGGTGTAAGTTCTGCACAGAAAATAACAACCCATATGGAATTCTGCACAAGCTTGCCACCAACAAGGTCTTTAAGCCGGATCAACTCTATGCCCAAATTGCCAACCAACCCATTACCACCAACATAGCAGAATCCACGGCAGCCACAACCTTAACACAGTCTTCCCAGCAGACGATCCGGACGATGACACGCCAGAGCAAAGGCACACAAGGGGAAACACCACTATCCCAGAGACTTCAGACGACGAACCATTTGAAATGGAAGAGATCAAGCAAATCTTTCGACAGCTTCCAGTCATAAAGGCCAAAAAGGCACCAGGTCCTGACGGTCTGGATTATGCAATAATCAAGGTCGCCTTCAATGCTCGACCCAATTACTTTAAAGCTCTGTTTAATAAGCTTATACAATGTCAAATCTTCCCTACTGAATTCAAAAAAGGACAGGTCGTCCTGTTTTTAAAAAAGCATAAATCCCCGGAAGATTCAAGATCCTTTAGACCCATATCTCTGTTATCTGCATTGGGTAAGACCTACGTAAAAATGCTAGCCAACAGGCTAAAGTACCATCTATACCGCAAAAACTTTCTTAGCCCACATCAATATGGATTCAGGACAGGCGCATCTACCATCCATGCTCTAGAACACATTCGAAAACATATACAAATGACAACAGAATCAACAATCTACATACTGCATTTATCTCTTTAGATCTTCAAAGTGCCTTTGATACCTCTCTGGTGGCCTGCAATAAAGCAGGCCCTCAGGGAGGCAAAGTGTCCAAGGAACCTTTTTAATATCTTCACTGACTATCTCCACTCCAGAAGTCTAATTACAGCATAGTCAATAATAACGGTGTCGTCACTAAACAGCAGGAAAGAGGGTGCCCACAGGGCTCATGTGCCGGGCCTCTACTGTGGATAATCACGTTTAATTCCTTATTACAAATCAAATGGCCTACCCATACCATAAAAGAGTGATAGCATATGCAGATGATGCGGCATTGCTTAGTCTCTGGCCGCACAAGAGAAGAACTCGAACGAAATGGTACGGAAACCTGTTCCATATTTTCATATAAATGTAGTAGACTTAAATTGATCATTTCTGCACAGAAAGTCAACGGCAGTAGTCATCCCACGACCAAGAACTAATCCAACGCGACGGCCGTGTATAAAATTGATGGGACGAAATCTAAAGATCTCAAAAACCATAAAGTATCTCGGAGTTACATGGGATCAGGGTCTCACATGGCTGCCCCACCTTCAAGACATCAGAGTCAAGACAGCAAATATAGCTAAGAAAGCCAGACAATTCCAGGGAAGCAACTGGGGGCAAAACCCTCACATCCAGAAACTGCTATATCTAACGGTAGCGGAGAGAATTGTTCTTTACGCATCGGCTATATGGGCGCAACCAATGAGCAGTCGCAAGATCAAACTCTTGACAACAATACAACGGCCATTTGCTCTAAACATAAGTAGGGCATATAGGACAACGGCATCAAGTGCAATAACGGTCCTTGCGGGACTAACACCCCTGCACATAAAGGCCAGCATAGAAGCTGCATATGAGCGCCTAATTAGGCTAAAACAAGATGCCAACTTTGCTGGCACCGCCTTCCATGCAACACAGTATGAATTACCAGGGAGTGTGCAGTATGTGCACCCGGCACACAAAAGTAAAGGCATCCATGTCGTGACAGCACAACAACCCAACGCCTCTCAGAGAAACTCCACATGTGAACTCACGATTCTACACCGATGATCAAAGCATGACAATGGAGTGGGATGCGCCTTCGTTCACTTCAAAAATGACCGAGTGGAAAGCAAATGGAAAGGCCATCTCGCTACCCACAACAGCATTTTCCAGGCAGAGGCTGTGGCAATAGCAGCTGCAATTCAGTATGCTCTGGACATTAATCTAGCAGCAACCGAAATTCACACAGACAGCATGTCAGTGCTACAGGCAATCATGAATCACCACCATACCTCACCCACAATTATAGCAATCCAACAGCTCCTGCGTAACAATCTGCAAACACGCATCAAACTAATCTGGGTGAAAGGGCATGTTGGCATAGAGGGTAACGAGATGGCCGACCAGTTAGCAAACGAGGCGGCACTCAACAACGACGCGCAAGAGGTGACAACTCCAATCCCGACTTCGTATTTAAAGCGAACGCTAAGAGAACTAAGCAAAGAACAGTGGCAACAGGAGTGGGATAACTGTGATACAGGAAGAAGGACACACAAATGCTACCCAATAGTAGACAACGAACGTCTCCAGGCCATTGCACCCTTGACATACTATATCACGGGGCACGGCCCATTTCCATCCTATTTTCAAAGACATGCAATTTCGATGACAGATATATGCGTCTGCGGGGCAACTGGCTCCCCCGACCACTACATATTTGAATGCAGCCTTACATCCAACTTACACCTACCACTCCCAGCCACAAATATAGAATCATATAAACGATTCATCATTAAGCACCCACCAGCGGTCAAAAAGATCTGCCAAATAATTAGGCAGGTCAACGACCTAGGGCAAGATATCTGCCAACCAAACTAGCGTCAATTAAGGCGTCTCATAAAGCAACCACAGTCAGCTTTCACTACCAAATCATCAACAGAATTCTGACAGTCTCTTATACTGACAATCAGCTGAATGCAACTTACAATATGTTTAAATTATGTGCTGCGCTTATAACATAACTGCACTAACTACACTACCAACATGTATATATAACCGCTGAAATGTCCCTACAGCGCATGAAGTACTTTTTTTTTTGCTTTTTTTAAGAGACATAGGCTGCTTACTGCGTACAGTACTCACTTACGGCGTATAGAGCAAACTACTGACTATGAACAGACTGCTACCTGCATTGTGTCTCTGTAGTAGTTACAACGACTGAAATATCTATAGAAGTATTTCCTGGAATAACCACAGTTATTACAACAACTGCAAGTTATATATCAGTGTATAAGGTACTGTGCGCAGAGTAATTGGAACGCCCTGACAAATCGTGTACAGAACTTATCAACAGTGTACAGAGCTCAACACTGACTAATCACAGGTTACTACTTGCATGTCCATGCTAGTCCATGCTTAACTGAACAGTGTAAAACAAATGTGTATCCGACTTTGCATTGTGTAACCATTCTGTAAGCATTGTGTATACAACAAGCATCATGTATCTATTACAATACTAATATGCACTGTGTATTCTACAACATAGTGTTTCTCCTACAGTCATTGCCAGTACTGTATTACACAAACGCGTTATACAAACTATCTGCAATAAATATGCACCTCATTCTGCACTGAATTTGTCAAATTCTGCACAGTATCTGCTGTATATAAAGCATATAATTACTATGCAACTATCTACATTACCTGCAATACCTTACAACCTGTTGTGTATCTGACTTTGCACTGTGCATTTGTTCTGTGAGCAATGTGTATATAAAAAGTATTGTGTACCTACTTTAATCCAATAAACACTGTGCATCTAATATAATATAAAATAAGCTCCGCGCATTCTATAACATAGTGTCTCCACTACAGTTATTGCCTGCACATCATATCTGTATTACTCAAACTATCTGTATTATATCTGCACTGTATCTGACATATGCATATATATATATATAATGTCATCTATTCATCTATCAATATTGTATCTGCATTACCTGCATAATCTCATAGCTTCCGCATAGAAATATATAGCTTGGCAACATCACACAACATAGCATGCATGGTGCTGCGTACTATAATTGTGTTGTATATCAATAGTATACGGCTTTAGTTTTAATGTGTAAGTATAATTGTGTTTATATAAATTGTGCACTATAATTGTATTGTATGTGGTAGTATAGCGTTTTATTCTGTGTTTTAATACGTTAGTATAATTGTGTTTGCATAATTTGTACACCATAACTGTGTTATATATAGTAGTATAGTGTTTTATTTTCGTTTTTACAATTGTGCGCAAGTATAAATTCTAATATCTAACATGCTTTACTAGCATAGTGTATCCTGTTTTTACATTGTGTTATCAATTCTGTAAGCATTATGTATATAAAAAGCGCTGCATATCTATTCAAATTAAATAAGTATTGTGTACCTGATATAATGTATTGCATAATGTATTCTCCAGAGTAAAGTTTCATCTGTAATTACTATATCATCTAATAACAAAATTTAATATTCTACAGTGTGCCTGCATGCTTTATGTATGTTTATTTGTGCATTTTACATGTGATATGTGATCTAAATGTGTCTAAATGATCTAAATGTGTCTTTAGTGTAAGTGTATACTATATATTAGCTTAAATATGTTTCATTATAAGTATGTGTTTTACTTGTATAAGTGTGTGCAAACTAGTATCTAATTTCTATTTTTATATAATGTGCTTACATGTTTTATATGTGTTATATATGTGCTTTTATATGTGTTTTACAAGTGTTTTGTATGTATCTTTATATGTGCAATTGTATGTACTTGTATGTGTATGTATATGCTGTAATTAGTGTCTAACAGTGTCTAAACACCAAGATGTAACAAATCAGCCGCCGTGGCCTCATGAGGCTCCTGGGAGTTGCTGCCACTAGATAGGGGAGGGCGCGGGACATATGCCTGTTTACCTCTGTTAAACATCAGGCGTCCCCGTCTTCCGTCACCTGTCACCTGTATGAATCTAAGAGGAAAATAATTTAGATTGCTCGTAAATTAAATAAAAATCATGCATATCATATAGAAACTTCCAAAATTCAAAAATGCTTCTCCATCTATGGTTATGTTATTTATTTGCCATTTTTTATTGTGATCTAGAACCAAAAAGGTAAATGCTGAGAAATGCCGCATAATTATGCATGTATTTTGATAGTAAATTGACAGTTCGTTTGTTATATGCGCAATGATGTTTGGAAAACTTGCGCCGCGAAAACTTTTGAATAACTGGTTTTAGATCCATAGTTTCATTTTAAGAAATTGATCTGATAAATGATACATAATTAGCCTCAGACTAATATATTTGGAAAATCGTATACAAATATTGCTCTAGATACCGTGCATTAAGTTTTCAGTGTCGGTTGTCTGAAATATACTTTCCACGTTAGAAAACTATGGTATGGATAGAGCTAGAAAACTCTAGTGCAGAAGTATGGTTTGGAATTTCCAGATTGTAGAAATGCTACCAATCGAATAAATTGCATAGTAAAGCTTCAATTTTTATTGTGATCGCTAAAATCGAAGTAGTCCCTTCCTTTGCTGTTCTTTTCACCGAATAAAAATAATTAACTTAGAAAATTTTTTTACAGAGCATATTGTATTACAGAATCGATTTTTTTTCTTTTCTAAAAGATTCCGAATAGGATCGAGAGTTGTTTAAGGAAAAATTAGTGACTTTTAGACAGTTTTAATAATTAGGGTTTCTCTGTGGGTTCATATTAAAAGCTAAGTTTCATGTGACTCTGTACAAGTCGTACGAAATTTGCTAAACGTTTCACGTGATCATAACGTCGTAATCTGCGTCAAAATCTTTATTTCACTGGAATTCAAAACCTTTCAACTTTCAAAAACATTCGTTGTTTCGATTTTTTTTTCTTTTCTAAAATTTTCCGAATAGGATCGAGAGTTGTTTAAGGAAAAATTAGTGACTTTTAGACAGTTTTAATAATTAGGGCTTTCTCTGTGGTGGGTTCATATTAAAAGCTAAGTTTCATGTGGACTCTGTACAAAGTCTGTACGAAATTTGCTAAAACGTTATCACGTGATCATAACGGTCGTAATCTGCAAGTCAAAATCTTTATTTCTGAAACTGGAATTCAAAACCTTTCAAACCTTTCAAAAGACATTCAGTTGTTCGATGTTTTTTATGCAAGCTGTACATGTAGTTCATTTACATAAAATTTATTCACGATTTTAAGAATTGTATATCCATTACGAATGGCTCGCTTGCGTTAATAAATCATTTTATGCTCATTTAAGACTGTCTGCTTGGCAAACTGTTGATCGAAAGAATAAGTGTTAAAAACAAAACTGTATGTTTTATAATCTCAATCAACCACTTGCAAAGCGTTATTCCTAATACTGCATTTGAATGCAAGAGCGGAGTTGAGAATGGATTACTGATTAAAATTTAAGACGGATATCTTCTTGAGTGGTAAAAGTACGAAACAAACCAAATAAAACAGGTCGCGTCAAATGGCAAGATAAACAAGCGGTATGAAATGAATAACATATATCAATAAAGAGTGCATGCAGCACTTTTGATAAAGGATAAAAGAATAATAAAATTTATTTGATGTCTGAAACATTTTTTTGTGAGTCAAAGTTTTGATGAAATCCAGCCTTTAATTTTCAAGAAACTAAAACAATATTTTTCTTTTTATTACGTCAATTCATTAACGTCAATTCAGTGATAAGCATTTATATGCTTTTTCATTTGCTGATTCTGACTAGGATATTTTTGCTGATCAAATTTTGTAAAATTCGAATGCTGATGAGGAATCCAATTTCAGACTTTTCAATGTCAAGGCCAGAGCTCTACTATTAATTCCTGAAACTATTTTCGTTTCTTCAACGAGATGTCTCTGCGATCTAATTTCGTAAGGCTTACTATTAGTGGTTGAGTTTATACAATTGATCACAGAATGCGTGGCGTGTTCAATTTTTGGAAAATGAATGAATTGGTTGTTTCGTGGTCCATAAATGAAAACTGAATACGAGGGTTTTCGTTTATAATGCCCTTCCCGAAAGAATTCCTTTATGACAGATATTCCTAATGTACTTTGTTATAAAATAAGTACTTCAATCTTAAATCAGGAAGAGGTTGTATGATTCAAATTTGTATGTTTTATGTGGTTCTTCGAACGTCGAAATCTGGAAACTTGTTAATATTTCGAGAAAGAAATTCAGTAATCAAACAATAGTTCACTTTTTATCTACTTATGATACCTTCCCCCCCTATAGGATGACACCTTTAAGGGTTAATTTTAATTAATATAAAAGGCGGATTTTCTTTTATATTCCTTATATCAGCATGAGATACTGGGCAAATTTAATTTACCAATAATTTAATTCTTGGTGAAAGAAAACTGAATAACTTTCTTTTTAATTTATGAGCTAATTGTTTTCTTTAGTATTAAGAAAAGATACAGAGGGTATCCACACAGTTTTGTAGCGATTTTGATATTCTCAATAAATTTAAATATTAATTTTAAAATACAAACGTGACTGGCATCAATTTAGAGTAAGGTTTAATTATCGTTTGCAGCATTAAAAATATTCTGATCTTTAAAATGTCGCTGAAAAGTAAACAATAGATCGAAGGCTATATTTTTGCGCTGTCCGAAGAAAAATACTCCAGAAAAGATGTGAAAAGCATGGTTTTAACGTTTCTACACGTAAAATAAGTGGCATCATTAATATGAAAGGAAAGAAGCGTCAACGTTTACATCTGACTAAAAAAAGGCAGAAAAACGGGTACCCAACAAAGGTAAGTACAGTTCTTATTAAATATAAAGTTGCATCTCATGTTTTAAAAGAAAATTCAGCCCTCCAGAGA